CTTTTGGTTAGCAGCCAAGCTCTTAACCACTGTGCAACCAGGGCTCCGGGGATAATAATAGAACCACCTAATTTATTATGGAGTCCTTGGGTGGTGCAAAGGTTAATGTGCTGCATTAAAAGGTTGGAGGTTCAGTATACCCAGAGATGCCTTGTAGAAAGGTCTGGTAATCTACTTCTGAAAAATCAACCATTGAAAACCCTGTGGAGCATAGTTCTACTCTGACACACAATGGGGTTGTTGTGAGGAGGAACTGACTTGACAGAACACCTTTTTTTTTTTTTTTAAATAGAGTGGTAGTGAGGATTACAGCATATAAGCTGCTGGGAACTGTACCTCACACCTCGTAAATTCCCAATGTTAGCCGTCATTGGTAGTAGTAGCTGGCTAGTAGTAGTGCTCTTGGTAGTAATAGCTAGCTGGTAGTGGTGCTAGAAAATGATATGGAATTATTTTTCTGTAGTGCTTGCTGCTTTGAACAGCTCATTTAACATATTAGATTATTTATGTTTAATTTTTTATCACCTCCAAGTCTAATTTTGAATTTTTTTTCCCTTGGTAGATTAAATGCCTCATTCATTTAAAACATTCATACAGCACGTACTTATTGAGTTCCAGTCATGTTCAACATCCTCTGCCATACTCTGAGGAAGAAAAAAGTAGCGTGGAAAGAGACCCCAGCTTTAAGAAATGGTAGGGGAGAGAGAGGACATGTGGAGAAATAAAGGTTCAAAGAAGGGTACATGAACTCAGTTCATCAGAGTTGGCTGGACCCTTGGACACCATGCAGACCAGCCCTGTCATTCAAGAGATGAGTTAACAGGTCCATAAAGCGATGTGACTTGATAAACGTCACACAGCTGGTTATTTGGCATCATAACCAATGTAGCCATACACCATTGGAGGAGAGTAAGCCATTTCATCGTTAGGAACCAGAAGGGCATGTCTGTCAAAACCTCATGGGCTGTGCCAGTATCTAAGTAACTCCAGTCCTGGGGGTGGGCAAGGATAGACTCTGAAGATGTTGATTCTAGGTGTGATAAGCGTTATACTCAGATGCTGGTAATAATGCCACAGTTTTAAACAGTCTGTTGGGAGCAGGGCTCATATCAAGTAGCCAGGAGTACAAAGGGACAGTGGCAGGACTCCAAGGGATTCCTTTACTTTGGCTTCACTCAGCCAGATGTTTTACCCAGCTGCTTTAGTTGTGATAACTTGGAGAGGTTTCTCTAAACATCTAATCAGCCATATCAGAGGAAAAAGAAGTCTGAGACAATGTGACTAAAGTATACTGGGAAATGATTTTAAATCTAGAATCCTTGTTGTTAGTTGCCATTGAGTTGATTCTGAATCATGGCGACCCCGTGTGTTGCAAAGTAGAACTGCTCCAAAAGGTTTTCTTGGCTGTAATCTTAATAGAAGCAGACTGCCAGGCCTTTTCTTCCGTGGTCCACTAGGTGGGTTCCCAGTCAAGTGCTGTTTGGAGTAAGAACAAAGTAAAGACATGTAAGCTATACAAAAGTCAGAAAGTTTGTTATCCTCGTGTGTTCTCTGAAAAACGATGTGCTCTGGCAAACTGTAAAATGAATCCAAGAAAGAAGATGATATGGCATATAAGAAACAGTGGTGAACAAAGAGACTGTAAAACAACAACAACAATAAAGAGTAAAAATGATTGATAATGTGACTGTGAAGCTAAATGCAGTTGTTAAGAGTGGATTCTCAACAAAGCAGAGGCAGGAACCTCCTGTTTCAAGCAGGCATAACAAAAGAAGAACAAGAAACAGAAGCATAAGCCCCCTCTTTGATAAAAGGAGGAGACATTTGTAACACAAACCACATTATGTGAAGATGGAAAGCAAATGGAAGAATGGCAAATGACTTAACAGAGTGGAGGAAAGTCAGAATTAAGTGTCGGTGCAGGGAAATTTTGATAAAAAGCAAGACAATGTGCCCCCACAGAACCCTATAAAAGCTCTGGAAGTTTGAGAAATCAAGTATCAGAAGATGGGCATGGGGCGGGATGCTGAAACAAGCGGGTTATTTGAAATCCTCTCTAAGGAGTAGTTTGATCGCCAGGATGTTATGCCTAGTTGGCTCAATCAGACCCATTCCTATCCCATCCTCTATGAAGCAGAGACATGGTTTCTGGACAAATTGAATCAGTGTTGCATTAATTACGTGCTTGATACCAAACATGGGAGAGTGGGGATGAGGAATGCAACTGAAATCTGGAGAATGAATGGAAAGTCTACTTCCTCTTTTGAGAGAGGTCACCCCTCATCCCCCACTGATTTCTTTCCCTGCCCAGCTCCAGAATCTGAGTTCTGCTCCTACCAGGAGGAAGACTGGAAGACACTTCTCTAGAAAGATTAAACCAGAGTAAAGACCCACAGATGCTGACATTTAGAAGCCTCTTGAAGTTCCAGTTACATAGATTGCCTACTTAGCTTTTTAGTACATCGCTCTTAAATATGAATGGAAAGACTTCTGGGTCTGGCCGTGAGAGAGTAATGAGTTCCAGACATACCGTACTGCTGTACACGGCTGTAAAACAGGTCAAAATGTACTTCAGGCATTGGATGACAGCATACGGCTGTGAACTGTGAGAGCAGAGAAACACACAAGGTGAGCTCCACACTCACCCTGCCTTTCTATCTGGAGGCACAGTCCACGACACAGCCCAGGGCAGAGGAACCCAGAGAGCAAGAAGCAGCCTCACTGTGAGGAACGTCCAGAGATTGGAGTTCAGGGATGCTGATGCTGTTGGAATTTGCAGGGAAGGGTACTGAGAGGAGGGTGTTGTGCAGAGAAGGAGCTCCAGAAATCTGCACGGGGTCCCTTTGGTTCTTTGACGCAATAATAAATGGAACATGCACTGAGTGCATTTCTGTGAGATCTGGCAGAGAACAGCTCCCAGGAAGCTCAAGATGAACATATATTCCAGAGGTTGCACAGTGAGATTTTGGAGTGCTGACCAGTTGGAGTGGTGAAATGTCATTCTGTACCAAGTCATTGAGTTGAGACCCCGGAAAAGCGAAACCTGAGGAACAGGGATTCTCTAGCCCTAAAGGAAAGCTACTCTAAGAGCTTGGAATGGAACCTGAAAGCAAAGCCGAGACTGGATATGGCTGCTCTTCCACTAAATTAGTTGCCCGCCAGGAAAAACCAAAA